AGTGAAATATCACAGAAGGAGAAAGACAAACACGGTATATACTCACTTATATAGACCTATAAGATATGATAAACATAATGAAATCTACACACCTAAAAAAGATAATCAAGAGAGCGGACATGGGGTAAGATTATCAATCTTCGTTTAGAAAGGCAGATGGGATGCACATTGGACATATGACAGGAGTCTACTGAGCGCATTTGAAAGACTCTAACTAGCAGTGTTTTCAAAGCAAAGACTCATGACCAAACCTTTGGCAGAGTACAGGGAATCATAAGAAAGAAGGGGAGTTAGTCTGATGAGGAAAGGATAGGAGCTCCACAAGGACCAAATATATCTGGGCACAGGGTCTTTTCTGAGACTGACATTCAACCAAGGACCATGTACGAATGTAACCTAGAACCTCTACTCAGATGTAGCCTGTGGTAGCTCAGTAACCAATTGGTTTCCCATAGTGAGGGGAACAAGGACTATTTCTAACAGGAACTCAATGACTGGCTCTTTGGCCTCCCCACCCCCCAAGGGAGGAGCAGTCCTGTTAGGCCACCGAGGAGAGCTTTGCAGCCAGTCCTGAAGATACCTGATAAAACAGGGAGGAGGTCCCCCCTATTAGTGGACTTGGCAAGGGGCATGGTGGAGATGAGGGAGGGAGGGAGGGACTGGGAGGGAATGAGGGATCGGGACACGGCTGGGATACAGAGTCAATAAAATATAACTGATAAGAAAAAATAAAATTAAAAAAATAAATTTGTCATGGAATATTTTTTTTTTCTCCATCTATGTTGATTGAAAGCTTTGTTGGGTACAATAGTCTGGGTTGGCATCTGTGGTCCCTTAAAGTCTTCATGACATCTGCTCTGGACCTTCTGGCTTTCATAGTTTCTGTTGAGAAGTCTGGTGTGATTCTGAAAGGTCTACCTTTATATGTTACTTGGCCTTTTTCCCTTGCTGCTTTTTATATTTTTTCTTTATTCTGTAGATGTAGTGTTTTGACTATGATGTGATATGATGTTTTTCTTTTCTGGTCTAGTCTATTTGGTGTTCTGTGATCTCTTGTGTTTTTATGGACATCTCTTTCTTTAAGTTGTGCTGTAAGCGGTGATTAATTTTTACTATTGATTTATCTTCTGGTAATGCTGCTGTTAATTCTAAGCAGCTGTATAACCAAATCACCACACAGACACTGGGATTTCTTTAGTTAACCTAGAACACAATGTTGGGCGAGTTACTCCTTCTCCTAAACCATAGTTTCCTAACATTTAGATTTCCCACATTATACTTGCTTTTTGTGAAATCTTAGGTCTGGTTCATGCTCCACGTATTTCCAAAATCTCTCCTCCAGCTCCGTCTCTAAGCTCTCTTCTCACCCCTTCTTTTTCCACTCATTTCTTGCCCTCTAGCTCCTCCCACTCATTTTCTGCCCTCTAGCTCCTCCCCTCTTTCCTGTCCTTTGGCTCCTCCCAGCTCAACATTGTGTCTAGTTGCTTTATTTGGAAGTTTACACCAAGTTGAGATAGAATGCTTAGAATGAGTATCACAATGCAATATCCAGATTGAAACCAGAGAGTGGGGGGTAGAAATCAGCATTTGAATGAACAAAGTTGGGAAAAATTTCTTCTATGATTTTCTTGAAAATATTTTCTGGATCTTGGAGACTGGAATCCACTCTTTTCATCTATTCCTATTAGTCTTAGATTTCATCTTTTAATGCCATCCTTGATTTCTTGGATGTTTTGTGTTTGGGACTTTTTCAATTTTACTTTTTCTTGAGAGAAGTATCAATTTTGCAAGTGTATCTTCAGCTCCTGAGATTCTCTCTTCCATCTCTTATATTCTATTGGTGATGCTTACCTTTGTGGTTCCCGATCTTTTAGTTTTCTAGTGTTTTCTCTGTTTGTGTTATCTTGTTTTTTTCTTTTCTTGAACATCCTTTTTTGGTGTGTGTGTTTTCTTCATTGAATCTAATTCTGTTTTCATTCCTTGCACCATTTTCTTCATCTGTTTGAATGTGGATTCCTGGCTTTTTATGATGGCCTCTATTTTTTTTTTGTTTGTTTTCTCTCTATATGCTACTAATTGTGCCTCTACTTGTGTCTCTATTTGTTTCGCTGTGTTTGCCTATATTTTTTTTGAGAGCTTTGTTCATTTCCTCTTTATTTGCCTACATGTGTGTGTCTATTTCTTTGAGAAATTTATTTGTTTTCTCCTTGTTTGCTTGTAATAACTGGATAAGCATAGCTTTAAAATATTTTTTTTCTGTGTTTCTGATGAATTTGAGTATCTATTGATTTTGGGGGTTGCTGGTGAATCCATGATATCCTGATTTTTTTTTTTTTGATGTGTTCTTACTCTGATCTCTGGCTTATCCTTAACCTTCACTGTTTGTTCCTGGAGTTTGTACTTCAGAGTGTGTCCGTCTTTCTCTGGTGTCTGGATTATTCTTCAGGAAAATAGGAGAGGTCCCCTGGTTTGAGAATGTGCATTGGTGTTTCAGTTCTACCTAAGGGAGGAAGGTCCACAGGCGCAGATGCATGAGTGTGGGGGAGCAAGCATGTGCGGGTACCTGGAAATGTGCCTTGAAGGATAGATAGGTTGCTAGAGAGTGTAGATGTTTGGAATGTGGGGCAGGGGAGGTACAGGCGTAGGAGGGGTGCAGGGGCTGGCTTTGTTCATTGGTGCAATTCACATGCGTAGATTCTTTGAATACCTCAGTGGCCTACAGGCCTGTCATACTGTCCTTCTGGTATTCAGATCTGTCTGGGTTCTTGGAGTTGTTTGCCTGGACTCCACTGGTAGACCTGCAGAACAGGGGCTTCAGTGCTCAGATCGCTGTCCCAAGAATCCCTATGTTGCCCACACTGGGGCTAAGAGTAGGAGGGACCCAATGTCTGGCTGCTAGGGTAGAGGGACCCTGGATCTGGGGCTCTGCACACATTCACGTGAAGACACACTCACTCTCTAGCAGGTCTAATCGGAAGGCACAGGGGTTCACCCTGTTCTCTACTCTCAGATTTGGGCCTGCTGGTGCAAATGGGAGTGTAGGAGATTCGTCAGCTCAGTGGTGCTGCAGCTGCAGAACTTGGAGGTTGGTACAGCAGTCCACTCTGAGTCTAGCCACAGCAGCAAGAGGTGTCTTGCTGCTGGTGGGAGGCTGTTGGTACAGGTGTCTGCTGGGAGGTCCTGGGAAGCTCCTACAGCTGTCTGTGGACCTGGATGTGCCATCAGTTCTGGGTGGCCTGGTGGACCTGGGTGGCCCATACAGCCGGCAGCCCACTACTGGGGGACTGGGAGGCCCACCTTCTCTGTCTCAGATACTGAGCAGGGAGTTTTGGGCTAGGAGCAGTGGGCACTGTGGGCTGCTTCCACCAAGGAAGGAGGAGGGAGGCTCAACAAGGGGAAGTGCAAGGGATTGAATATTCGCCATTTTCAGTCCCCAGAAAAGTCCATGGTTGACCTAGATCCAAATGGTCTCCGCTCATGGTCTTCCTCATACCCAGGAAGGCTCAATGTCGATGTTTTGGCTTCAGCTGCCCCTCCACTCAACAATTTCGGAATTTCAGGCCCTCTGCCTCTCAGATACGGCACACGCTGGTTGCCACCATCTTGGATCCCCTTCGGTCAACTATCTTCCTTCTTTTCCAAGATTTGCCTATCCACCCTACTTCATGTTCTACACCCCCTCTGTGTGTGTGTGTGCGTGCGTGTCCCCTCAAACCCCCTGAAAGTCAAAACAAACAAACAAATATAAAACAAACAAAACAACACCAAAAACATGTTGTCTTGACTCTAAAAATATAAAATAATTCAGGTCTTATGTTCTCATTAAATCCAGGTGTGGACACTCATAACAGCTTGAGCTATGATATAAATCTAAGCTCTGCCATGACCTCCAGTGAAAAGTGCAGGGGAGTTTGGCTCAAATTGTAGATTCAGCAGAACCAAGGGACTCCAGGTGAGCTGTGCTGATCCCTTTACTAGTTTTCTCTGAAAGTTTTAATCCCAGATAGCTTAGGGTTCAATGCAAGGACAAAGAGCAATGATAAACATACATACTTCTTATCACTTCCACCAGATGTGTTCTTAAGAATCATGGTCAAATAGGAGCAGTAAGCATAATATCCTTAATGTCCTAAGGTAGGGAAAGGAAACGTTTTGTTCATGGTATTCCTTGGGCAAGAGGGGGGCGGCATGTCTCCTTGAAAAGTAAACAAAACTTTAAGGGAGAAGAGTTCATGCAGCAGGCTCATGTAGGAATGTCTATATTATATTCAGGCTCCAAGCTCTATGTATTCAGATAGATTTTTCTAAGTTTATCAGTAGTGATAACCTTTAATCATGCTTTGGTTTGCTACAATATTTTTCTTTTGGCACTGTTGGCACTACAGCTTTACAGACTCTTCCTTTTAGTGTAGTCCACATTAGATTTTTTTTCTTAAATTTTTTCTTTTCTATCTCACCAAATTATATTGAAAATATATAATTTTATATTTATGCTTGTTTTTCCGGCTTGTGTGCCTGTGCATTACATTCATTTATTGCACACTGAGCCCAGAAGACGGCAGCGGATCCTACGGAACTGGAATTGTTGATGGCTATTAGGCTCAATACGGGTGCTGGCAACCAAATCTGGGTCCTCTGCAAGAGCAACAATTGTGCTTACCCTGTAAGTCATCTCTTCAGTCCCACTTGCCATACTCTTTTTTTTTTAATTCTAGTTTAACTGAGTTTTTTTATTTTATGGTCCAATATTGCTCCACAAAACTGAATTTGAAATATAACATCTTGGTCCTGGTTACTGTTCTAAGGCCTTACTCACCTCCCAGGCTCACCAAGGGACATGAACAGTTTAGAGCAGCAGCGCCCTCAGGCGTCCAACCACTAAGAAAGCCCGCCTTAAGTCTGTGGAACCAGAGCCTCGGCTTCCGCAAGGGGCGGGACGCGGGAGAGGCCTGCTTCCGGGGGAGGGGGGCGGTAGCTTCCGGAAGGGCGGTGAGTGAGAAGGGAGGAAGGTCTTTGGAGGAGATGTCTGGAGGCGGGTGTCCCGGCACGTCCAAGGTTCGCTGGGCTGTTGCTATGGAAGCAGAGGGCTCCTCGTGGCTGGCCCTGGCGGGGTGGAGGGATATGGTGCACTCGTTTGTGGGCACGAGCGGGTTGGTGGCTTGCTGGTCTAGAGCCGGGCATCCTGTCCTGTCCTCCTGCCCAGGTCTTCGCACAATGGTCCTGGCAGCCAAGCGGGTGGGCGGCAGACTGGGACGACGATAGACGCTGCTGGGGATTGATTTGGAATGCGTGTGTTAGCTGGCGCCTGGCAGTTCGTTTGCCCACGTTTTATTCTGTTGCTTAACATACCAAGATAGCAGTGATATGTTAGACTAGCTCTTTTGATTTTTCCCAGGTATCTTTCCCTACACCTTGCTTTCTCGCCCAAACTTTCTGAGAGGAGTTGCTTTTCATGAGTCTCCAGCGGTCTCTGTATACTGTAAAAGCATGGAATACAGGAACGTACCTTCTATTCATTTTTCCTTCATTGTATTCCTTTGGATCGTATTTTGCCTTTTCAAAGTTTCTTACTTACAGATATGTGTTTCATAATTCTCAAACTTTAAAACAGCAAACAGTGCTTCATTCTCTGGCCTGCTCTTCATTTTACTGAAAAACCTGCTGAGGAAAAAAAAATCCCATATAAATGCTTCAACACCTTATCACTGCCGTTCTTCTTTCTCAAACCAGCCCTGATAGACTACACTGTGAACTTTAAGCAAAAGTACATATAACGTATGACTGAAAGACCAATTCAATTTCAGAAAGACTAAAATGTGAAAAAAAATCAAGGAATTAAAACGTTGCTAAATCTAACATAAATTGTTTCATTATTGCAGCCTTTGATACCCTTGACACCAGTGTTTATTAAAAGCATCCCTAAAGTCCTGATCGCTCTCATAGCTCCTCATTTACTTTTACTTATTGCCTTCTCCAAATTTTGACTTTGTACTTTTTCTCCACTTTAAGAGTTTACCCCCTGAAGTCTTTAACATTGATTTTAGCTGCCACTATTGTATAAACAAGTTATCGTGTATTACGAAATCATTCTTTTAGTTTACCAGGCCCTAGCAATTTTTCCTTAGAAATCCAGTGTTTTTGACTTATTTATTTCTGCCCTCTTCATTCTATTATTTTTCAATAGTTTTTCTTGTCAGTAGTTGTGTTACTTATTGTTGTGTAAAAATTGCCTCAAAACTGAAGCAGCTTTCAACAAGTAATGCTAATAGGAATCCAAGTGTAGCTTAACTTTGTGGTTAAAGCCCAAGGTTTCCCACAGGGTCATCTCCCAAGTTCACTGAGGTGGTGGTTGGTAAGTTTCAGTTTGTTATTTCCACAGGGTGGCTCACAACAGAGCAGTCAACTTTCTCAAGAGCAACTAAGACAGGATCTTATGTAACACAGGCTGGCTCTGAATTCACTGTTTAGTGAAGCTAACCTTGAACTCATCCTGTCTCTACCTTTCTATTACTGGCATTATAAGTAGCATGTGCCACCATGCTTGGCTTTCATTTCATTTCATTTCATTTCATTTCATTTCATTTCATTTCATTTCATTTCATTTCATTTCATTTCATTTCATTTTTTAATTAATTTATTTTAGGTGTCGGGAGCAGGGCTCATAGCTAGTTTGGAACTTACTGTGTAGATGAGGTTGCAATTATCTTTCCTCTACCTCCCTACTGTTGTGATTACAAATGTGAACCACCACACCAAGCTTCATTTAATTTTTTTGTCAATTCTTTGAAGAAGGTACTACTTGTCTCATTTTATGGATGATGAAAGTGACTGCTAGCAGGAGGTTAAGGATTTTGCCCATGTGTACAGCAGTTGAGTAAAGAAGTGAGGATTTTATATTCAGGTTGTCTCTCATAGATCTTCCTTTGTGTTCAAGCTCTCTTTCACACTTTCCATAATATGGTTTAGTTCTTAAATTAATAGTCTTCTTTGTCAGGTAAGTTAGACTTCTTGTTACCGTACGTTTTTGGCTCTTAGTATTTGCTCATGAATGTCTTTTTTTTTTTTTTTTTTTTTTTAACTGTTACTGCTTATTGAAGGTAGCAAAGCCTACCTTTACTGAAGTTATCCCAGTTAGGAGCTTTCTTTTGTATTCCTGTGGAATTTTGTGTTTCATTCTTAACCATGTCATGACTTGTAAATATCTGATGAACTTGTGAGTATTCTAGGTGTGAAGAAACATGAAGAAATACCCTGATCAATAATCTTGAATATCAGCTTCAACCCTTTAACTTCCTGGTCATAGAGTTTTGGACAAGGCATTGTCAACCTAAATAACAGCTAGAGAGATATTTCTAAATACTAATGATACTAATTTGAGATGTGTAGTAAAATTATAAGGGCATTCAAAGAGATTGAGGCAAGGGAATAATTTTAAATATTATAAGAGAGAAATAAGGAAAAAGTGCATTTTTCTGATGTCACATTCTGACTTAGGATTTCTGTTGCTGGGATGAAACACTATGACCAAAGCAACTTTGGGAAGAAAGTGCTTATTAGGCTTACACTTCCACATGTCAGTTCATCATCAAAAGAAGTCAAGACAGGAACTCAAAACAGGAACTTGGAGGCAAGAGCTGATGCAGAGGCCATGGAGGAGTGGTGCTTACTGACTTGCTCCTCCTGGGTTACTTAGCCTGCTTTCTTATAGAACTCAGGACCACCAGCCAAGGGGTGGCACCACAAACAATGGGCCGGGCCTTCCTTTATTAATCACTAATTAAGAAGATGTCCTAAAGTTTTGCCTACAGTCTGATCTTATGGAGGCATTTTTAAAAACTTTTTATTGATTCTTTGTGAGTTTCACATTATGTACCCACGTCCCACTCATCTCCCTCATCTCCTGTTCTTTAGTATCCGCCCTCTGCCCTGTCTCTCATACTTCCCCTCCAAAAGAACACACCACACACACACACACACACACACACACACACACACACACACAAATAAATCAAGAAAATCTCATCCTGGAAATTGTGGTTTGTCATAGTGTGTCCCATAGTAAATCCCTCTGTCCATGTATCTTCATTTGCAAATATTCATTGCAGTGAGCCATTGGTCTGATTTGAGGTCTCCAGCTTCTGTCTCACCATCAATAATGGATCCTCATTGAAACTTCTCCTGGTTATCTTCTTGCTTCTACGTCATGGAGATCCTGCAGCTTTGGATTGGTCCTTTAATGCATCCCAACAGTTCACAGATGATGTAGATTATAGGGTGGAACAACTCAAAGCCCTGAATATGGGTCTGGGTGGTAGCTGGGCTGGCTCTCCTGGCTCTCCTTATCTGCACCACCAGGGTGAGCTCCCTAGCACTGCTAGCATGTTGGGAGATTGTTAAAGGATTTTTCTGCATCTATTGAGATGGTCATGTAATTTTTGGCTTCAAGTACATTTATATGATTTCATTTATGACTTGCATATGCTGAATGAGTTCTACATTTCAGGGATAAGCCAACTTAGTCATGGTGGTTAATCTGATGGATTCTGTTTGCAAGTATTTTATTGAACATTTAAAAATCTGTTCATAGAGGTTATTGACCTGTAACTTTTTAATTTAAAAAATTACTTTGTTGCTTCTTTGCCTATTTCTGGTATTAGGGTGATACTGACTTCATAGAAACACTTTGGGAATACTTACTCCTTTTTTTTTTTTTTTTTTTTTTAATAGTTTAAGAAGGTTATTGGCTATAAGTCTTCTTTGAAAGTCTGGAAGAATTCTGCTGTGAATCTCTGGTTCTGGACTTTTCTTAGTGGGAAGGCATTTTATTACCATTTCAGTCTTGCTTGTTATCAGTCTTTTTTAGGTTGCTGATTCATGTTTGGTTTAGTTTTGATGGTTTGGCTGAATCTAGAAATTCATCCTTTATTTTAGGTTCTTCAGCTCAAAGGAACACATGTATACTCTTTAATATTATGAATTTCTTTTGTATCTGTTTTGATGCTTTCTTGTATATTTCAGATTTGGGTCTTTATTTTCCCTAAAATTTTGAGTTGCATCGTCAAGTCATTTATTTGTGCTCTTTCTGATTTTTTTTAATGTATGCACTAAAAGCTATAAAATTTCATCATAAGACTGCTTGCAATATGTAAATTAGCTTTTGTTATGTTGTGACTCATTTTCATTTAATTCCAGGAAATATTTTAATTTTTTTAAATTAATTTTTCTTTATTTTTTATATTAATCACAGGTTATTTACTTTGTATCTCAGCCGTAGCCTTCACCCTCATTCCCTCCCAATTCTACCCTCCCTCCCTCAGCTCCTCCCTGCCCCTTTCCAAGTCCACTGCTAGGGGAGGTCCTCCTCCCCTTCCATCTGACCCTAACTTATCAGGTATCTTCAGGACTGGCTGCCATGTCCTCCTCTGTGGCCTAGCAAGACTGTTCCTCCCTTGGTGGGGGGTGGGGGTGAGGTAAAGGAGCCAGTTCATGTCAGAAATAGTCCCTGTTCCCCTTACTAGGGAAACCCACTTGGTTACTGAGCTACCATGGGCTACATCCGAGTTCTAGGTTATATCCATACATGGTTGTTGGTTGGAGAAACAGTCTCATAGAGGACCCCCATGCCCTGATATATTTTGTCCTTGTGGAGCTCCTGTCCTCTCCCAGTCATGTTAACTGCCCCTTTTATCGTATGATTCCCTGAACTCTGCTGAAGGTTTGGTTAGGAGTTTCCACATCTGCGTTGATACACAGAATAGGTAGAGTCTTTCAAAGGCCCTCTGTGGTAGGCTTTTGTCCTTTTACTTGTTTTTTCCTACTTCCCATGTTCATTCCATTTGTCTTTCTAAGTGAGGATTGATCATCTTACTCCGGGTCCTTTTTCTTGTTTATAGGTGCACATAATTTAGTACATTTATCCTATCTTATTGGTCTATATAAGTGAGTATATACTGTGTATGTCTTTATGCTCCTGGGATACCTCACTCAGGATGATCTTTTCCAGATCCTACCATTTGCCTGCAAATTTCATGATTTCCTTGTTTTTAATTGCTGAG